CAGGGGTGAGGGGGGGGGGTGTTGATGCAACCCCCCTTAGGAATTTTCGCGAATAGCTCGCGTAAAAAGCGGCCAATCGCGACGAAACTTTCAGTACCCTCGCATTAATCAATTTTACACCTACCCTGAAAATTTCATGACCCTGACCCAAGTGATCTTTGATCTGTGACCTCTTTTCCGAGACCATGTTTGGCCGGAATCGCGATTCGGCGTATGTCGGCTCGCATTAGCCGCGCGTTTGCAAGCTTTTCGTGGTTTCAAACGTTCAAACATGTGATTCGATGTTGCTCCCATACGTTAGGGTGGGTGTCAAGGTCACCTGAAGGTCAGGTCAGGTCATTGACCTTTTGTGACCTCGGGTGACCTCGGCTCACTTTTTCGAGTTTTACATATTTCTAGGCTAGTTTTTGGAGCTGAATTCGAATTTAGCAACCATTTTAACATTTACGAAGTAGTTTTGGTGCCTTCGTAACATGTAACGAAGCTGTCAGAGGCGGTTGACACGTATTACGAATACCCGTCACATCCCCTACCTGTTGACCTGACTTGACCCGACCTGGTCTAAATGCTTAAAGACATCATCTCTGATCAAAATTAACACGATATTCATGATCAGCACCCCGGAAAACCACATAGCAGCCACACTTTATGACTTTCAAACAGGTCCCGATTTTCCCGTTTTTTTGGGTCATTGACCTGACCTGGAAGGTCACCCTATGACCTAGGACCTTAAAATTGGGTATCATCGGCTTCCTCTCGTGACGGGCAACACGCTTGTTTTTCCCGCGAAGCTCTAGCTCGATCAGGGGCCAAACGCGGGAGGTCGTACCAACCCCCCCTTGTGCCGTCGAAGGACGCAAAATGGCCTGTGCCGGCGCCCGCCCGGCCCGACTGGATAAAATGCCTCCACTACGCTGAAGTTCTCGGCGGAGGTGATGCGCCGAAATTTCGGCGCAAGGGTATATGCGCCGAAATTATTTTACCAAGCCATGCTTCATGCGCCGAAAATTTTCAAGGCTTACTGATGGCTGCAGGCTGTAGCCACGCACTTTCCGTCGAGGGGGGGGGGGGGCTGGCGTGTGTGTGTGACTGTCTTCCAGTGACTACTGTCTACAGACGGTTGTTGGCACGGTCGACGGGATCGGGCAGACAAAAGACATCAGCAGGCCATGCGGGACCGAGCACCAGGGTTCGCTATCACAAAATCTCCTGACTCACAAACTCACTGGCATGTTCCATAACGTAACCTTTATTTTGTTGCCCGGCTCTGATCAGCAGTAGTGCCCAGCCGGTGACTGACGCCTGACGGGGCCTTCAACAGGCGTGGTGCAAGCACGGCCGATGGGATCGGGCAGATACCAGGCCACGCGGGACCGATTGCCAGTGTCCGCTCACAAACCACATGCCGGAAATACAGGAATCACAACGGTCAATACGCACACGATAGCATACGTTATCTGAACTAGGGGATCCGACAATCCATAACCTCACTCTGGATCGGTGAACTGTTCCCGCCGTGGGAGAGTCGCAATCAGGTTCACTGAACATGACTTAAATACCCTGAGACGAACACAAGACAAGATAAGTGATATTTAAGATGTTTAACTCCCGAAGACATTTAACCCTCGCCGGCCGAGGGGGGGTTGGTGCCACCCCCCGGACGTTTTTTTTCGCGATTTACGCCGAAGTACGCCGAAAATTTCGGCGCAAGCCGTCGATTTACGCCGAAGTACGCCGAAAATTTTCGGCGCAAACGCCCAACTACGCTCGAGTTCTCGACGAAAGCGTGCATTTTTTCCAGTCGGCCGGGGTTAAGAGTAAATACAACCAACACTGGAAAGTCGTCTTACCTTGATCCAAGTCTGTGATCCGCACCAGAGTTCTCGCAGTTTCAGTCAGGCCCACAACATGCTTGCTTGATGCCTCGATCCCTATCCAACAAGGCCGTATATTGATATCTTATATTGATCCTATCCAAGTTGAGTTCAAGTGATCCAATGTGAGTTTATTATTAAGGGCCTTGATCCAAAGGATCCAACGTTCAGTGGATCCAACGGATCCAACGGCATATTTACGTCTGGACAACGAGTTGCGTTGGAGAGGCCGGAAATAGTGGCGATTTCAGGACCGCAAAAATGGACCGTCATTGGAATGATTCTTTTTTAAACCGTGCACTGTTTTCGGCCGGAATTTAATAGTTACTACAAAATATTTTTTAATTACGTTTCCACCAAGAATGAATGCCATCAGGACTAAATTTTTACTACTAATGCATTTTATCAAGAAGCATATAGTGCTGTTATATTGCAGTTTTAGCGCGTTTGTTACAAAATATTAAGCGAATAAGCGTCAGTGTAATTATTCATCAGTTCAGTTCATCAGTGCCAGAAGTTAACTTGAGGGGGGGGGGGCTATGCTAATTGCTCTTGTCCATCCACTAAAATTTATTAAATATTTTGCTTTGTGTATTCCAAAAGGTGACGGAACTATTTCATTTGTGCCTTCATGTCAGAATTGAAGGTGGATCATTAAATTTTCAACGCAGTTTACAAACAAGCATTTCAATTTGGTCTTTCTCGTATATACATAAGCAGTGGCTAAGAAAAGGTTGATCAATCCTGAAGTTCAGTCATCGTACCTCAACTTGGCAGCAAGATCCCCAAGGACAGAGGATGTATTGTACCTATACTGATACATGTCCTGTAAATCAAAACAAACAAGCATTTGGTCTTTCTTGTGTATAAGCAGTGGCTAAGAAAAGGTTGATCAATCCTGAAGTCCAGTCATTGTACCTCAACTTGGCAGCAAGATCCCCCAAGGACAGAGGATATATTGTATACCTGTCCTGTTAATCAAAACATTTTTGTGCCTGCAAATGAATATAACTGTGACCCTGTGCTTGTTTTTATACTTACTATGGTCAAACAGGGAACAGCACATGCACATAACATACTCACCTAGCATCTAACTCATAGCTGTACCCTGCAGGATCTGTACTTGTCTCGAGCATTAACAAAGCGCCAAAGTAGCTTAGTAATCATTTCCCACATTTTCTGAGCAGTAACATGACATACAGCAGTGCAGAGCAGCTTCAGAGAAGAAACACTTTAAATGCACAGACTAACACCAGCCACCCAATGAGCCAGTTCCTCAGTTGACTGTTTCCCTGGATGCAGCTTGGCAATGTGAGCTAACTTTTGGCAAGTTGAAGGTTAGCAGGTAAGATTGAGTTAGGGTGAGTACCTACCTATAACTGGGTGCTACTGCTATGCAGGTCTTGGGTAGGCTGCAAATATGTGTGATGATTGAGGTTAGGTCAGCTGTCAGGTTAGTCAGGTATGCTCATTGCTCAGGTCACATTTTTATGGACACTTGGCGAATTAAAAAACTAACAATCTAATCTAAGCTAACCCGACTAAGCATACACAACTACTGACTATGGGAACTAAGCACCTACCTACTTGTGCCTACATCTCATACCATGTCAAAGTAGAGTTCCTTGGTGGAAGATTACCCTCAGTACTTTTTATCCCAGCCCTGTGAAGAAAACTAATACCTCTAAGCTCTGAGTCACTGCTGGCCATCCACAGGAAGAAACACTGAGACTGAGAGCTTTGCCATTGTATATTGGACCAATAATCACTATCACGAATGACTATGAACACATTATATGATCATATCGTTGCATGGATTGTCACATTGACAATTTTACTACAATCCTTTTTTCAAGAAATACAGTGATGATTAACATCAAAATCAACATAAAGTGGATTTAGTGATCCAAGCTTTCTCCTCCAGTAGCAATGGAATGATCGCATGTTTCATTTGCCAGACACTGAGTAGGTACCTGATGCACATTACAATCTGCATAGCATCTAAGCATAGTAAAACTGCCCAAGTCCATTCACTGTAGATTTTTAACTTGATAGTTTGCACTAATTTATCTTGCTGTTGTAAGTTATTATTCAATATTCATACCAATACATCAATATGCGCTCATCAGTCAACATTTTCTGGCATGATCCTGCTCAGCGTGCTCTTCAGTATTGCTCCAAGGTCTGCAATATTATAGCTTGTTTTTGGCCAATAAGCTCTTTTAATTTTACTTTTTCTTGCTGACATATGAGCCCGATCAACTTGTGTTTATCAACCAAAATTTCATAACTTCAAGTTCAACTTGATATTGATATTGTTCAGGAGTCAGGACCTCTGTCAGCTTCCTGGATACTTCGGATTGTTTTCAGTCACATGCTTCTTAAATATGATGTAAGTCAATCTTAAAGGATTCAAAACATCCAACAAAACGACGTACAAGAGTACGGAAACAACCAGATAAACTTAAAAAGCGCCTTGGAACAGAGCCAAGTGCTCCATTTGTTTGTTTACAATGATTGTAGTGCTGATGTATTTTTAGGACTCTGAATGTCGGCTTATAAAAAATGAAACGTTTTTACAAAAGTTGTAAGGTGATTAATATTTATCTGAAAGAACTAAAATATTCAAAAGCCAAACACTATGAAATACGTGAATCGGAACGAAAAAGTAACCCCAAAGTCCAGCCTAATCACCGGCTCCTAAAACTGCAACAGAATCAGCACTTTTCCCCGCAACTCGTTGTCCAGACGTAAATATGCGATCCAACGTGAAGTATTGTCGCAGTTGCGCCATAGATGTAAAGGTAAATTTTTAGAGTTAAACCACTGTTAAATAATTTGTGTTCCTTCTAATTCACTGCCATCTTTATATTCAACTTTCCTCGTAGTGTAGGAGTATTTCCTATATTTTACGCATTTGAAGTAAAATATAGTCGATGTTTCGGCAAAATAAAAGCATTCGCTACTACAGTGAAATCGGTAACTTCCGTAAAAAGGTCGAGAAAAGAATGCATTGACGTCATTTATTTTTTCGTTCTCATCTCATGTAACGTCTGTAATAACATGAAATTGTAAGACCTTGGAGAATCTGATCCACAGTGTCAGTGTGCTTTGTTTTGATTTTGATTTTGATTTTCGCTTTTGATCCAGTCATCTGAATCTGAGTCACTGAATATCGATCAAAGGAATTGATCGTTCCCTTTCGCCTGGTCAGAGTTCAGAAGAAATTGCTATGAATTGCTTTGGGCTCCTGAAGCCCTCTTAATTTCAGTTTCAATTTTGGTTTCTAACTTAACTCAAACTTTTGTAGGTGTCAAGTTCTGGCCTGTGTCGGCGGAGGGTAATTACATATACCCCGCGTTGCGTTCGATGTCTCTCGGACGACGTAGAATCTTCGTTGAATGAGAGATATTGAACGCGGGGATAGTCTGTTCCATGCCATGATGCGAAGCTTTCGGTCAGAGCTGCTTTGGCAGTTCGCTTCTCCTTTCAGTAATTTGTGTATTTTAATGAAAGCTGTATGTACAGAAATCACGCACTGGCACTGCTTTGAGCTTTCTGCAGGGCACCCACTTTGGCTGCAAGCTTGAAATGGCACAGACTATACAGTATACACACCTAGTCCTACATAATTTAGAGTATTTCCTCTTAGTCTTACTTTATTGACCTAGTTAGGTTAATTTTTCAGGCATTGTGCATTGTTTTGTATTTGGCTGTTATTTGTGCAAAGCATGGCAACCCTAATCCTGATCTATGAGATCATTTTGATCATTATGACTATTTTGTCCTGGCTGCTGGTTGGAGAAAGTAGCACCAGCTGCTAGGCTAGGTTGACAACTGATTACTCTGCACCAGCCTACACCAAGGAACTCTGCACAAATTGCTCAAAAAAGAGAGTAACTACATATTTTTGGCCACAAAATTTAGAAATATGCACTTATGATATACAATTTTAATAAAATGCTACATGATTCTGCAGGTATTAGTATGACATAATTGAGGCCCATTGGAGCCTGCACCAATTCATGAAAAATCTGGACCACACCATTTTAAATCCACACCAGTCACCACACCACACTGTGCAATGGCTGAGTGCCTCTGCAGTCTGCATCAATGAGATATCATGAAAATTGCAATACTGTGCAGTCTTCCTGAGCAAGTTGCACCCAAAGTGCAGATAAATTACTTTTGGGTAAAGGTTTTGTGTGGAGCAGTGTGGGTGGCTGTGTGTTATTGTGCTTATTTGGTGTACCAAGCTTGCTGATGTGAGACTGCTGGCACGACACTGGTGCATAGGCCTTGTAAGACATGGTGTAGCCTGGGGTTTGTCAATGGCTGGCCAGACAACCTTGTGCCAACATAATTCCTGTGGCCAACACTGATGAGTGATGAGGGATGCAAGTTGATTGATCAATAACCATAATGTTGTATCCAGAATACCAGCTTAGGTAGGTGGTAATACATGTGGTAATACATGTGGTACATGTGGTAAAGAGCTACTACCAAGTCTTAGCTCCTTTCAATTAATGATAATTCCTTGTGAATGATCAATTTAATCGAGGAATAATAGAATGTATGCAGTTAGCCTTTTTGAAGTTCCTTTCTATGGTTGACATTGGTCCATTTTTCATTAATGCTCAGTTTTTTTTTCTCCCACAGGCATTGTCTCCTGGCTGCGCCCAATGCTCTTTTTCTCTCTACATCTCTAACTCTGAGACTCAACCTCCATCTGAAAATGAACGGTATGCTGCTGGGCCAATTTCTGTACACCAAGCTGAACGACTATGTGCTGAAGCTGAGCCGAAATAAGCTGGTGCACCGTCTGCTGACGGACGGTGATCGCTGCTCGCGCGCCGGGCCCCGCGGCCGGCCCACGCTCGACCCTCCGAGCCGCACCTACCACCGCGTGCTTCTGAAACAGCCGCCGCCGCCCGTAGCGGTTTCGAACCCCGTCGTCGCTTGGACTACAGTCCTGAGGCAACAGGTGAGTGATGGAATAAAGAAACTCGTAACTCCAGGAAGGATAGTTGTTGAACATGGCCCTTAAATTTCAGTCATTTGGAATCCTCATCTGACCAAACTTACAAACACTGATCGCGGCTCCTGACTGGTCCACTTGGTACCTACATTACGCCTTTTCGTCCTCTTCTTTTTAAGTCCTTTGAACTTGCAACCTTGAGACAGTAATCTGCCTCATTTTAGCACTCAAACATTAAGTGCGGCAACTTCTCGATGATGTCTATTCTGGTGGTGTAAGAGTAAATAAATGAAGTGGTGGTGTAGGAGTAAATAAATGAATGTGTGAGCATCTGACTCTGTTCTATATGTGCGCTGGGTGACGCGCCTCCTGGTGGGCAGTCTGGACTAGTCTTACCCTGTCGCTCTGCAGGTGGGCTGGGTCTCGGCTGCAGCTGGTGGGCAGTCTGGAGGTCTCACTCTGTTGTTCTATGTGTCGCTCGGTGACGCGGCAGCTGGTGGGCAGTCTGGACTAGTTTTACCCTGTCGCTCTGCAGGTGCGCTGGGTGGCGCGGCAGTCTGTAGCGTCTTACTCTGCTGTTGTCCAGGTGCGCTGGGTGACGCGGCAGCTGGTGGGCAGTCTGGTGAACCCCTCCAGCCGGCTGCTGTCGCGCCAGTGTAAGGAGCTGGCTCAGCGTCTCCTCTTCTCCGGCGGCACCCACACGCTGGTGGCGTTTGTCGGCATCACCCTGACCGGAGATGATGGACTCGTCACCAAGGCCGACCGTATGGAGGTGCTCTGCGCAGATATCAAGGTACGCTGTTCCAGCTTCACTGATCTGCTCAGTCAGGGTTCGCGGTATTTTAGTCCTATGGCTTGATGGATTTATAACCTGAAGACCTGCTTTTGCAACGTCAAAATACGCAATTCTTAGTTGCCGATAGCTGACATTCGTTTGAGGTGATTTCAAATTATCTCAATTTATTAAATACGAATAGATATTAGGTAAAATTGGCGGCGACGGTACGCATACTTTTTGCGAAAAGGTGTTATTCACGATGTTAAGCAGTTCTAAATGTTTGCCGAGTGCTTACAGTGTGCAAACCTTGTGCGTTGTGTTGTGTGAGCAGAAGTTTGTGCGCGACATGCACTGGCCCGACTGTGACCCGGAGCCGTCCGACTGTCACGCCAACGTCGAGACACTCCACGACATTGAGATCAGCGACGAGATCGCCAAGGGCTGCAACGCCGTCGTCTACAAAGCCCGCATCAAAGGTGGGACGCCAGCAGTCGAGATTCGGACCGGGCTCTTCGCCAATTACCCATCCCTTTTTCACATCCAGCTCTCTTGTATTTGGCAGACTTCCGTCCCTTTGTTCCGTGCTGCCGTTTTTATCGATGCTAAATGTCGTTTAAGAAAACACTTCAATTATGTAGTTAATTCTCTTGGTCTTTGATTGCTTCTGCATGGGTCTGTGTATGAATTTATGCGCTTGCGTTACATGGTCGACGTCGACGATCGTCCTAACCCGCTGTATGCTCTCCCCTGTCGGCCGATTTATAGGCACTGGAGATGCTGGCTGGAACCTGGCGCTGAAGATGATGTTCAACTACGACGCCGAGAGTAACGCCTGGAGCATTCTGCGCGCCATGCACCGCGAGGTGGTGCCGGCACCCTGGTATACCGTCACTGAGGAGGTCCGACGACTGGTCACTGGGTAAGTGAGAGCGGGCGGGTGCCCAGGGGACTGTGCAGGGTGGATGGGCCGGCGCCTGGTACACCGTCACAGAGGAGGTCCGACGCCTCGTCACAGGGCTAGTGAGATTGAAGGGCTCCAGGAGGCTGCGTTTAGGTGTCTGAGTAATTATTGGCGCGATGCTGTAAAATCGTTGCCGACAACCGCGTCATTTACCATGAATTACAGCTAGTAACCTCGGGATGGCGTTAATGTGCCTGTAAGACGGTGCCGCCCTTCCGATCTGCCGCCTTTTGACCTGCTTTATGATGTACTGCTCTCTGTCGGTGTGTGAGGCTGCGGCTAGCCTGCCGACCTGCCGCTTTGTGACGCACTGCCTTCTGTCCCAGCGTGGGACTGCGGCTGTTTGACCTCCCGTGCCCTCTGTCCCAGCGTGGGACTGCGGCTGTTTGACCTCCCGTGCCCTCTGTCCCAGCGTGGGACTGCGGCTGGCTGACCTGCCGCCCCACCGGAACATCGTCGACATTCGAGCCGTGCTGGTGGACCGCGTGCCGCTGGTGGGTGGCGCTCTCTCCAGCTACCCGGCCGCCCTGCCGGCGCGACTCAACCCAGACGGAGCCGGCCGCAACGCCAGCCTCTTCCTGCTCATGAAACGGTTAGTCGGTACTCCGTCAGACGCGCAGTACACGTCTTATCAGTCAGTTTTTACTCGGCGACGGGAATGCTAGATAGCTATTTGTTATATGGGTTTGATATCGGCCTTGGCGCAGATAATACTCCGATGATAACACTCCAATATTACAGAGTGCTGCCAGATCTTCAGTGCTATAGTGAAGTACCGCTTGTCATGGTGGTGGTCTAGCGTTTATTGTCTTTGTTCCTCTACCCAGCTATTTGCAGCTCGTGGGGGTAGGGGTCCCGAGTCTGTGGTAACGAAAAACGATGCGTACGATGCACTAATGTTCTCAGTTCTTTACCATCTCTTGTCTAGTTACGGCACCCACAATCTGTGTTTGTCTGTGGTCTCGATATCCACGGTCTTTGTTATCGATAGACACAATTCATAATCCCTTTTTCCCCTGTGACTGTGACTTCAGTCTTCAGAAGCCTTCAGTGACTGTGACCGCTATTTTCCGACAGGTACGACGGAGACCTGCGCACGCTGCTGGCCCAGTGCCCGGAGCTGTCTGCTCACACCCGGCTGTTGCTGCTCACCCAGCTGTTGGAGGGTGTCACCCACCTGGGACAGCACCGCGTGGCGCACAGGTAGGAACGGCACGGCTGGAGTCCGAGACAACAGACCGGCACAGGCAGCGGACCAACCCAATCCAGAACACTAGGCTCTGGGCTGGGCGGTATACTAGGCTGCTGCTTTTACCTGGCTTCAACCTCAGGTTGTGTGAGCTGTAGACTGTAGTTAACCTTCGCCCCAGTGGGGGGGGGGGGGGGCATATGTTACCACCCTGTCGCGTTTTTTGCGTGTGAATAAAAAAACCGCGGGGTAGCTTTTTGCACATCAATTTTGGACAATGTGTGAAATTTTTGACCCCAGGTCATGTCAGGTCAGGTCACCAGGTCAAGTTAACTGACCAAGCCTAAAAAAGTTTGCAATCATGTCCAGCCTGCTGTGTTTGTCAGAGAGGTTTTAAACTTGGTGGATTGCATGATGTTATGGGTGCCTACAATTTGTATATCTCGGATTTTTTATATGCGTGACCTAAGGTCAGGTCAGTGGCGTGACCTTTCCATTATAAGTCAATGGAGAAAAACGAAAATGCCTCTAGATCCGTGTGTACGCATAGGAACAGTCCAAATATTTCAGAATCACAATTATTTGGACCACCCGTGACGACCAAGATGTCTTTTTTTGCTGATAGCCTCTAGAAAGGTCATCCGAGGTCATTTGAGGCTACAAACAGCTTTTTGTCAATTACTCTCGATTGGAAAGAGATAGAACGCTGGGGTTGGCTTCATTGTGTTTTTCTTGCCGAGACGCATCGACTGATATGCAACATGACCTTTTCCGGTCAGGTCATGACCTTGACCTGAGGTCAAATTTTCAAGTTGACCTTTCAAGGTCAAGTTATAGTTCATTCGACGCGTCTCGGCGAGAGGAACAAGATGATTCTGGTAATAGAAATGTCCTAGCTTTTTTTAGTCAAAAGTTATTGTCGAAAAACACTTCTCGTAAAAACAGCTATTTTTGGAGTTTTTGCCCTCTGGAGGCTCAACCGTTGACCTGAGGTCATTTTTGATTATGACCTTATCAAAAGAACAGTTTAAAAGCTATCGATTGCTTTTCCCAGCGTTCTTCTAGCTATCATAGTTCCTGAGATAATGGCATGTTTTCTGAAAAAATATAATGACAATTCGCAAATTTTGACCTTTGATGACCTGTGGTGACCCCAATATAGCTCTAAGATGAAAAATGACCGAAATACTTTCAAACGTACGCATCAAAAGCTATCGGCTGCTTTTTACCGCGTCTTTCTAGCCCTCTTAGTTTTTGAGTTAGAGGCGGGTGGTAACATATGCCCCCCCCCCCCCACTAGGGCGAAGTTGGCTGAGACCGCCACTGGGGCGCGGGTTAAGTGTGTCCGGCTGCTTAGTGAGCTAGCCTTGTTTCAGTTATATTTCCCGCTTACCGGACGACTTGGAAGCAAATTATCCCGCAGCCAACAAGCCCGTCAGCCCCAAGTAGCCTAGTCACCTAACTCACATGAGGACTCTCTGTACGCGCGCAGGGACCTGAAGACGGACAACCTGCTGGTGGACACGTCGGCGGGCCGGCAGCAGCCACAGCTGGTTATCTCCGACTTCGGCTGCTGTCTGGCTGAGACTAGCGGCGCGCTGACGGTGCCGTTCACCTCGTGGGACGTCGACCGCGGTGGCAACCTGGCTCTGATGCCACCGGAGGTGAGTACTCGGACGGGACGGGCGCTGGGTGAGGGGGAGCGCCGGGGAGTTTTGTGCCGCTGAGGAAGGGATAGATTTACTGGTCGCTATTTCATTTTCTCTTTTCCGATGCATGACTGTTGTATTTTTCGTCCCGGAATCGATTTGCTTCTGTGTAGGACGCGATTTGTTTTCAATTGAGCCACCACGGCCGATCTTTGATGTCTGAGATCACCACTACCGCTGATCTGAGACCACCGCAACTGATCTTTTCGTGTGTGCTTTGTACTGAGGTGTGTACCCAAAGCCGTAGCGAGCCTGTAACCGTACCGCTACCCATCGCTCGCTCCACAGATCTCTGGCGGCCGGCCGGGCCGGTTCGCCTCCCTGGACTACAGCCGGGCGGATGTCTGGGCGGTCGGTACCATTGCCTACGAGATCCTGGGCTGCACGAACCCGTTCTACGGGCCGGACCGACTCAACAGCGCCACGTACTCTGAACGTGACCTGCCGCCGCTGCCGGCCTCCGTCCCGGCGCTCCTGCGCTGCCTGGTGGAGGATATGCTGCGGCGCGACCCGGCGCAGGTGTGCAGGGGGGGGGGGGGCTGTTATGGGATGGGATGGTACGGTTGAAGATTGTGCTTGGCGTTACTCGTTGCAATATGACTGCGAACAAACTCACATATGGGGCGTTCCACGACAGATCGACCAAAAAAATCGCGAAATAACACCCTACCTCTCATATTTTGATGAAATTTCGTCTATGGGGTTATCTTGTCCGGCGATTCGTGTTGTGACATTTTCAATCTCATTCGTCCAATACTTTGGGAGATATCGCCCCAGGCAGCTTAATGGCTACCATAAAAACTCTAAGTTTCATCCGCAAATATTTAGCTAAATACTGATTAGATTCATATAAAACTGCATATCATCACAATAAGAATTAACCAAAGATTTTGGTGATATCAATTATTTTTGAAAATTTTGCTCGTTTAATTTTTTAACATAAAATTGATTTATAAAAATCAAATTTTGAGAACGTGGCCATCTTTTTTTACAATTTATTTTTGCAGCAAAAGTCTTGTCAACGCATTGACTTTCAATGATGAAAATATTAAAAACATGTTTTTCCCCTAAAGGTCGCTATACAACATTGAATTTCGTCGTACAGTGAAAAAAATAACAATAACTGTCAACCGGTCTAAACGGAGTACGGTGAAATGTGATCAAGAGCTCATTGCGACGCTGTTAATTCTTTTTAAAGATGCTTAAGACACCTACGAAAGCTAAGTTAGGACCCAAAGATCCAAAAACGTCATAATGGCGTATTGTTTTCAAGAGAGCGAGGTTTAACCCCCTGTGGCCGAGGGAGCGAATGCTAATCACCTTTGACGGTTTTCTCATCACTGCTGGGGTCGCATTGGCGATAGAGTGCTGAAGCCGGAAAGTTATTACAAGTTATCTAGTTGATTTATCTTGTGACATCAAATGAACTTTCATATAAGGTCACTTTACTGAACTATGACGTCACGTAAGTGAGCCTATCTAATGCTTAAAAATGTTACTATTGCGAAACGCCAAACAATAGTTTACGGAGAGAACGTATGTAATTCACGCATTCTTTGCAAGGTCCGATGCTTTAGTTTTGCTGGTGGGCCTTGCATGACGTCATAATGACGCAACGTCATTTATGACGTCACTAACGCTGATTGAGTCGAGTTTTTCGTTAATAGATTCCTAACAAAATGACGACATTGAGGGGAGGGACATCAATGTACTGAGAATGAGCTGTCGAATCGACAGATACTTTTGCCGTAGGTCGGTATTATCTCAATTGACCAGTTTCGGGACCTGAAATATTTTGCCAGATACCGAAATGACTCGCGACCATTTAAGGGATTTATTGACCGAAATTTGGATCCCTGCCTCAAGGCATTTGACCTGACCTCAGAGGTTACCGGTTGCCGGAATGATAAAACTTGGTTTGGAAGAGGTCAGCTTAAGATGTTTTCCTCAGGTCGAGGCCACATCAAAACCGCTGAGGTCAAGAAGCTGTTCAAATGAGGCCATTTCAGCCGTTTTCACGACGGATATCAGACGAATCTAGCCAAATCTTTTACTACAGCTATTTTCATAACGTAATTTTATTCTTATGCTTGAGTAAAAAGTAACGACTGATAATTTGATAAATAAGGTCAATAAGCAACTAGCGCAACCTAAGCTAAAAACAATTAAGAATCAACTATGAACCAAATTTGACCAAATCCCATCAAATATCAGTTAATGTGTGTCAGATAACCGTCGTGAAAAACGGCTATTGTAAGTAAATGATTCAGCTCAGCAGGGTTCCCTGAGTTCACTGGTGGCTTATTCGACTCGTTAGATAAATTCCATTCAGTCATTGACAAAAAGAAAACCGATGACCTCACACGACCGTACAATGTAACGGCATATACGGCGCATTGCAAGGTCCTCAATGCAAAACCTAAGAATCGCTCATCGCAAAAGTGTATGAAATCACGATTACAGGTGTTTGAGATGGGCTTGGATCATTTTCGGCATCCAAATAACAGTTCAAATGTTTCAATATTTCCCATTGACTTATATTAGTGAAGTCACGTGACCAGCTTGACTTCGGGTGAAAATTTAGGAAAGTTAGGGGAATTGATGTTGTAAAATCTCAAGAGCCGTTACTGCCGTTACTTGTGTCATCCCCTGCAAAAGGTTCCCTTACACTGAGAGTACAGTGCAAAGCTGCAACTTTTTGCATTATTCCGAGGTTTATTTGTGACGTCATATGTCAGTAAGCTGACCTGAGCCTGTTCTGTTGGTGTCAACAGATTCGGAATGTCAACTTTTAGCTCTCCAGCCTTACACCACTGCAAACAATATCGAGAAAACCGTTGGGGCTGCACATCAAACCCTCCCCTTCGGCCGGGTGGGAATAAAAATACTATGAAAGTGAATGTTAGTGAAACATGGAGCATCCCAAGCCACTAGCTACCTCGAAATGCATTAATTTCAAAACGTTAGAGATGCTTCCAGTTTCAAGAAAACAGAATTCAATATCGGCGAGTTTTCAAGTACTTGTAATTTTGTCACCCCCGCCTACTCTGACCTGGTCACGCCCCTGGCAATTGCAATCAGTTACCTTCAAATGCCGCATTTTGGTACTCATATAATTTTTTTGTGGCAAATTTATTCATCAAAATTACTGAAAGTCCGTTATTACAAGGACAGAGCGAACTTCATGCGATTACTAGCTAGAGCCTTCTCCTCATTTAACCCTATTCCTGGCGGGGGGGGCCTCAGGAGCCCCCCCCCCTGAGGTTTTTTGGTTATTTCTCCCAAACGCGTTGAGCTAGGAAGCTCAAATTTTCTGACTTTTCCTATAAGGCTTCTACGCAACATGTCTGAAAATTTTGAGTTGATCTGACCTCAGGTCAGGTCACCAGAGGCGGTTTGGTGACCCTACCTCAGAAAAGTTTGCAATCACGCCAGAGCTAGAGTTTTTGACCGATCAATTTCTTCTCTTCAGGCTTTAGTTAGGGTACCAGTATGTGCAATTTGTATATCTCGGAAATTTGATATCGGTGACCTAAGGTCAGGTCAGTTTCGCGACCTCCCCATTATAAGTCAATGGGGGAAAAATCAACTCCCTGTTTTTACCACTAAAACGGGTCGGAATGGCCCCATATACCATACATGACTTCATATACGATCAACCTTCACTACCTTGAGGTCTGTTTTGCTGTTGGGCAGCTGTGAGGTCATGTGACGTCATCAAAGGTCACCAAAGGTTTTTGGCCAATAACTCCGTACAGAAACAAGATACAGACGCGTGGATGGTCTCATTGTGTTCAGCTCGTCAAGACGCATCGAATGATATACATGATGACCTCGACGTCACGTGACCTGAGGTCAACCTTTGACCTTGACCTTTCGAGGTCAACATATATATCATTCGATGCGGATTGACGAGAGGATCACTATGATGCCCTTAGTTTGTTCCTATCTTGACTAATTCGAAAGTTATTCGAGAAAAACTCTCTCCATATCTAGCGCCGCCATTTTGACTTTTTCGACCCCTGTAACGTCATCTGTGACCTGACCTGAAAATGACCTTAGTAAAAATTGTAGATCTTGTCCATGCGTATCCGCTGCCGTTTACCGCTTGTCGCTATCTTGCTTCGTTCTCGAGATCTCAGGGGGGGGGGGCCGAATCGGCCCCCCCCCCGCCAGTTTCTTGTCCCGGCGGAGCCCGCCAGGAATAGGGTTAACTCTAACACAGCCTCGGCTCTTATGAACGGAAGTTGTGTAGGTATGTCCGGCCACAATGTCCGATTAGCAATTTTGATAATTCCTAACGTTTCATTGGCGGATCGAGCCGGACGTTTATTTTTTTTTTGGGGGGGGGGGGGGGAATGGCCGAAATGGCCCCTTCCTTTCCATGCACCGCCATAGGCGCAATGTTAAAACTCGGGTTTTTGCGGGGGGGGGGGGGGGGTAAACGGGCTTTGGGGGGAGCATTGCCCTACCCCCTGGATCCGCCAGTGTAACGTTTCACCAGTGCAAGCTGCTTAGAAGCATATCAGAATTACATGCGAGGCGGCCGATATCAGTGTTCAGCTCTTTTTTTTTTTGCCTGAACAATGTTCGAAACTACAGCGAAAGTGAAGCAAACATCATTCAATAATCGCATGCCTGGTCTGTGAGTGTGAGTGCCAGGCTTTTATTTCTAATTTTCATGAAACAGTTCGAGGATATGTGGGTAGGAGAATGATTGGCTCTGGAAGGCATTACCAAATGTTCCCTTTTACTACAAACATTGTCGGAAACAAAAAATTATATAAAAAGTTAAAGGCAAAACATGTCTCTAATTTTTTAGACATTAAATTTCCATATCCAGAGGCATCTTTTGGCATAATATTTTTGTCAAAAATTAAATGGCCACCTTTTGAAAATCGAAAATCAAAAATTCATTATTTCAAAAAATCTTGCGATTTTGAAAATTTTCAAAATATTTTGGCTGGATAATTTTCTACTGTCAATGAGGATTCCAATGATATGCATATTAATGTAGGTTACTGGCTATATTTTTTGATAATACGAGTTTAAAAGAGGGTTACTCTGGGCATTTTGAAAAATGCCTCTGGCTATAACTCGTAAACCCTTCGTAGTATAACGCTAAAAATAAGAGATTATGAATCTACGGTACGGATAACCCCATAGACGCAATTTCATCAAAATCTGAGAGGTAGGGTGTTATGGCTTGGTTGATCTGTCGTGGAACGCCCCATATGAAGATGCTACTGACTGATAGTTCTGCAGCTGTATCTGTGTTAGTACCGCCACTCCCTTGGAAATGCCGTCGTGGCTGCCGTCGTTCTTTTTTGTCACTGATATCTTCTCCGATAATTGATTCATTCCATTTTTAATTTCAAAATCATGATTTTACGTCCTAGACTGCCGACTAGACTCCAATGTCGGTAACGGTGTATTCCAGTGTGTACTATGGACTGCTACATTGTGGACTTTTGTGCGACCGTTTGACCTTATCTGCTGCAGTGCTTCTAATACGCTCGCGTCAAATAATTTGTCCTAACGTTGCGTGTTCTGCCGATTTCAGCGTGTGTCTGCGCGCGCAGCGGCCACCATCTGCCAGCTGATTCTGTGGGCGCCCAAAGCGTGGTTCGCCGCGCCTCCCTCTCACAAACAGGTGAGAGCTCAGAGCACCGTGCTCACCTCATATGTCCGTCCCTCGAGCGTTCGTTATTTCGCCGCGCCTCCCTCTCACAAACAGGTGAGAGTCGGGAGCACCGTGCTTGCCTTCTCTCTCCGTCCTTGGCGCGTTTGTTATGTAGGCACATGACAAGCGGTGGTGGATGATTCCCGGATGAAAAGTCAAAACGTTAAAAGTAAACGGATAAAAAGTCAAAGGACATTAAGTCAACAGACAGAAAGTCAACAAAGTAGGGCCACCTTTAACATGGGGATTGAAACTGAGATAGCCATCTTGTAGCCCTAAGCCCGTGTCCGAAAACCTATCTGTCTACCTCCTTACGGCCGATTTCGGCCTCCATTCGTAGTTATCGGCAATTTTAAAAGAAAATACGCCAGGAATGCGTCCTTATCCCAGGAATGCGTTCTTATCCGACAATACAGCCACCCGCGGCGAGGCTTTGGTTTTTTACCAATCAGCTCCAACCAGCTCAGCTTTAACCAATCAGCTTATCTGACACAATCCGACGAGTCTGTCTTCTGAACGCTGATTGGCTTGAGTGTGACGTCATCGCTATGCCATCATACAGTAGGTGCCGTAGAGAGTATCAACATAGTACCAATATGTTAAATAGTTTTAAATACTTTTTCGCGAATTGTGCACTTCTGGCACCAGTTTTAAAAAGAAAATGAAAAATAATAATGTCTAAATGAAAAACAACGATATCTTCATATTTCACGAAGGTGGCCCTTTTCCTTTAATTGTGTACAGCTGTTTGTAAATGTTATCTCATGTATGTAATGACTGATGATCCAGGTGTCATTGACTTTGTCTCTTTGACTTGTCCTTTTGAGTTTTTGGATTTTGGCTTTTTGTCCTTTGGATTTTTTCGTAATTTGACTTTATGTTCTGTTGACTTTTCGTCTTTTGACCTTTGTCCTCTTCACTTTTTGTCCTTTTGACTTTTTGTCCCTTTGATTTTTTTGTCCTTTTGACTTTTTGGACTTTGACTATATGTCTTTTTGACTTTTTGAACTTTTGACTTTTTATTTTGACTTCATGCCCGGTTGACTTGTTGTTTTTTGACTTTTTGTCCTTTTGACTTTCTGTCCTTTTGGTTTTTTGGATTTTGACTTTATGTCCTGTTCACTTTTTGTCTTTCGACTTTTGTCCTTTTTACTTTTTGGCAATTTGACTTTTTGCCGTTTTTACTTTTTGGCTTTTGACCTTATGTCCATTTGACTTTTTGTCTTTTGACTTCTATGCTAGTTGACTTTTTGTTCATTGACTTTTTGACAATTTCACTTTTTATCTTTTGACGTTTTATCCTTTTTGACTTTTTGCCTTTTGACTTTCCTCTTTGTTGACCTTTTACCTGTTGACTTTTAAGATTTTTGACTTCGTGCTTTTGACGTAATGTCTGTTGACTAATCATCCTTTTACCTTTTATCATTTGACTTTTTGTCCGGAACCCGTGGTGGATACTGTTGAGTGTTGGTTGAAAGAGTTGCCATGATGGATGATTTTTATTTCTCACATATTTCTGATAACATCCGTATAATGTGACTGACAGCGATGCCAGTTGGCTGTCCCTAGGCATATGATGATCACGTCGGTATCTGACTGAAATGTCTGCGTTTGTCCGTGACATAACTACCTGCCCGCCCTGTAATGCCAGTGTTGTGTCTGACCGGTGCCATGTGTATTGAATTCTCTCTTCTCGCGTTGCAGATGAGATCCGTCAGTGGCTTCTGACGTTCACCGTCAAGGCGATATGTCTGTGTCATGTGTGTCAATGTCTCTCTCCCTGTTTGCGTGGCAGATTAGTCAGTGGCTGCTGACACTGACTCTCCCCCTGTACGTTGCAGATCCGCCAGTGGCTGCTCACACTGACCGCCAAGGTGATGTGCGAGTGGCGCAGCCGCACGGAGCGCGACGATCGGCTGGAGCACGTGCTCGTGCACACGCTCCTCTGTCGGCTCACCTATGCCGACCTGAGCGAGGCGCTCCGCTGGCTGCAGCGACACGTCTGAGGCCGGTCGGCGAGCTGAATCATCTGTGATAGAGCACACTGAGGTGTCGGCGGGGCATCGCACAGCGCCCTCACAGCGGCCGTCAGTGGTGCACGGATCGGGTCGAGGCGGCGCCGGCGCTGCCGTGGAGCTGCGGAGTCGACGGCAGGCAAGTGAACTGTGTGTGCCAGGTATGAATGGAACCTGGCTTGGTGATAGCGTTTCCGACGTGATCTGTACGGTCTCTGAAGGATATAGAGGCCCACCTATAGATAACTCCTTATGCTAACTCATCAATGTTTGCTGTAGAAGGTCCACGGATAGGCATTACGGAGGCGCGATATTGCTATCCAGTAGGCTAACGAAATTCCGATTTATCTGATGCGGTAAGCGTATATTTCTGGAACTCTGAATCCTTGATTGTGTACATTTATATTCAGCTTGGAATCAAAATCATTATACAGGCCAGTTATTCTATGTTATATTTCTGGATGCGAGTAGATCGTTGAGGTAAATTCGAGTAGCCGCTTCCCCTGGTTAGGCCATAGTGACTGGTGGTCGGGCCTGTATTACCACAGGAGCACTGTGGCATGTAGTCGCTATCGGTGCTGGCTCATTTGTTAGGGGTGTTTCTGTTCCCAGGAGGTCGACACCAAGCTGTCTGTGTCTTCGCTCGTCCCCGTGCATATAGGTGCGGTTAATGTAGCTTTACCTGATCTGATCAGCAGTTTTATCCCGAGTTGTGAGGATGTCGCGCAAGTGTCGTCTTTATTATTCATGTCGCATTGTGAAATGATATTTTAATCCCGCAAGGAACCGTGGGGCTGAAATTCGAGAGACAAGCGTGTATCATGTATCTGCAATTTCGGAGTGTGTCGAAGAATACAAGGTTTCACAGACAACACAACTTCTGTCAGTGAGGCCAAGTATTTTGACATATAGGAATGTATCAAATTAGACAATGGGGATATCTTGACACAACATTCACATCGTGTAGGTTTAGGTACTGACTGTGGAGAGAGGACTGTTGGTTGCCGCAATCATTGCCATAAGTTAAGTATGCCTTTCTCTCGCCCCCCACACCACCTTCCATCCACCAAATGGCCATCCGTCCTCCCGCTAGCTGAGGCTTGTAGGCAGAGCTTCGTTCGACTGACACCTTTGTTTTGGGTGGAACATAGCAGCTGCTGCTTACCGCCATGAACTGTCCGATTATTCAGCGGCCGTGCCTTATGGACGTTTGTGTGAGGCCTGAGACGGGTCTCTTGCTGCTTTGAAGCTCGTACCATTCATTATTTATTTGCTTTCACTGACTTCTGCTGATAAGCTTTTTACCGTTCAAAGTTCGTAAATACGGAAGCTTGACTCTTGGTCTAAACTTAGGCCCTAAAACTGTGTTTAACCTGACTTGACGACCTGCTACCAAAGCCTTGCCGAAAGCCAAATGGATGTATAATTTACAAAGCTAGACGCTTCTTGCTGAGGACCCTCGAACGCTGCATAATGCATTTAGCATTGGCTCATGAATATTAGACGCCTCGTGATGCAAGGGCATTCTGAGGTCCCGAGCAGACAGTTACCCGCCCCCTTTCTCCAGGCGGCCTCGACATAGGTCTGGAAATTGTGTATATTACGAGATAGAGTCCAAGGACATATCTCTGTTTTTGTAGTCCTGGGTGGATGTTTATAATGAGAATGTTCATTCTGTGAGCGTTTTTAAACGCCCTCTAACCATGAGGTCAACCAGTAACAAAACCGTCCCGTACGTCCATATTAGCTAGAAAATGGGCTTTTCTGAACCTTTTGAACAGAAGATTGTCAGCTATTCCAATACATAGAATCTGTAACTCCAGCCAAATTAATACGAACCAACATGTCAAAATAATTCATAGCGTCACTTGTGCTGTGGGAAAATCTTTACATCTATGACAAGATCAGTGACATAACAGCCGTTCAATCAATACGGCTGTCGAACACAACTACACGGTGTCCATCAGAACATCAACTGCCTGTATGATTATTTGACTGACGCTGATGACCACTGATTGTAAAGAGTAATTTCTTTAAGCATATCGTGTCGTGGCCAAAAAGCTGAACCTACCAGTACCTACTCTTGGACATCCCCAAGCTTCGGCAGATAGATAACGTTCAATATGCATCCGGGCGGTTGCTACAGCGTTTGGCTCATTTCGATTTATTGACTAATAAAATAATAGACACTGAACGCTATAGTGATTACTTATTACAGATACGGTCATAGACCTATGTATGCAGATGTCTATGATCAGATCGACTAGCAACTAATAAGGCACCTTGGCTTGACCCGCAAGCACTATTCACTAGAACGTCTTTATTGCCGTTCGAATATTCGAACCGATGACTAGATAAGGTCGAGTACATAGGTGACGTTCTTCGGTAGGCCTTCTTTCTCCACCCCGGTCACAAACTCGGTGCGAGCGCGCTCTCTGATCCGCGCGTGCATCTCCGTGTTGCCGTTAGCCAGCCGGAAGATGGTGCGCAGCAGGCGGTAGCGCAGCCGGGTCAGCCAGGAGAGTGTGCCGTACAGTCGCGGCACCTCCAGCCCCAGCACGTCGTGCAGGATATAGTAGAGGAAGACGTCGTGGTGACACTGGCGGAACACGGTGCCCAGACCGTCGAACAGGGCGTGTGTGAGGCCCAGCCAGCAGCGGTCCGGGTGCCGGAGCTGCGGCACCAGCACGCGCCGCTCCAGCTGGAGACACAGCGCGCGCACCTGGGTCAGCGAGCCGACACACAGGTTGTGCCTCTCGGCCACACCCAGCCGGTGACCGATGCTCCGCCACAGGTGGACGAAACACTCGAGGTCGTCGTCGGTGAGGTGCGCCAGGCCGAATTTCTCCGGGTGGAGCACCACCAGGCCAACGAAGAACCACTGCGTCAGCACCATGTCCAGCTGGGAGAGGAACCGTGTCGGTCGAGCAGGCTCCGCCGGCGGCGGGCCCAGGTCACCTCTGAGGGCCGCCAGCGGACACCGACCCGGCGCCGGCAGGTCGACCTCAGCCAGGTCCTTGCCCTCCAGTTGCTCCGTCACGCGGCGGTGCATGGCTCGCACTTTGTCGGCGTTACTGAAGGCGGTGTCAGTCGGCAGCCAGACGTCACCAAACACCCAGGTGAGCGTGTACAGCGCCGTCTCCAGGTAGCGGCGGCGCGCGCGCGGCACGGTGTCGGAGCGGCGCGTGTACACCAGCGGCCGCGCACCGATCGTCGTGAACGACAGGAACAGAGACATCACCTGGGAGTTGTTGATGACCGGCCAGTAGAGCTCGTGCAGCCGCCGTGCGCGGGCCAGTTTTCGGTCATCCAGCCAGTCGGGCGGCTGGGAGCTGCTGTTGCCGCAGTCGCCGTCCTCCTCCGGCGCCTCCTGCAGCAGCGAGGTCATCTTGGCCTCCACCCAGGCGTCCGACGGCGGCTCCGGCCGCGGCGGCGGCACGTCCGAGTCGTCGCTGTAGAAAGAACGCAGGAACGTCCACAGGTCGGCCAGGTACAGCAGCGCCAGCTTCACCGGGCGCAGGGTGCTGACCTCCAACATGGCTGGACTTCTGGAGGACAGAAGTGGAGTTCTTGAGCTGTAAAGACGAGCTCAGAAGTTCTGCGGTGGAGCACTGTAGCTCTGATTAGTAGAGCTTTTGAGCTATGAAACGGTGCCCCTGAGTCCTATAGCGAAGCTGTTGCACGCACAAACGGGCCCCAGCCCTCGGCGCTGACAATCACTGACTGCTGCACTGCGTTCAGTTGCACATGTCACACTACAGGCCGAACCAAGTCATGCCGATCTGTATCGGGCATGAATGCCAGACTTCCAGGAAATCCAGGTCCAGCAGCGTTACATAACCACAAACCTCCAATCACAAACTTCATTCATGCTGCAACGATGTGCAGAATCGCGTCGTGCCTGCCGTCGCTGACAGTTGACCCAATACCGCAACGCGCACACCCAGGGACCGCCGTCACTGCACTAAGCCAGGCCCCTGCACTGCCTGCGCTGGTACAGACCGAGTCCTTGTGCACTGAGTCACAACATACCGTGCAGCCGGCCGGCAGTAGATCGCGTGCACCTGGTGACGGCGCCCCTCCGCTCGGACGTTCACTATCGGCCGACGCAGGTTATCATACCGACGGATCGGCTCCGTGCCGGCCACCGTCACCGTCACGGGTCGCCCTGCAGTCACAGGTCGCCCTACTGACCGGCGACCCGTCACCGACCTCGTGTGTGCCGCCGGCGGTGACCACAGCGGCCCGAGCACTGTCTGCGCAGCTGCTATCGACCGGGGGCAGGCGGCCAGCCGACGGCGTCAGAGGACCCCCGAGCCCCCCTCAGGCCCCCGGACCCCCGTCTGGGGGGGGGGGGGCGCCGTCCAAGGACGCCCGAGGCGCTGTATTTGTGTCGTGGGCTTACATAAGTGCGGCTGATAGGAAACAGTCAGTTTTTTCCTTGTCGACGGACAGCTATACCCCGAGTGGAACCGAGTGACCAGGAGTACCTACATATGCCTTTACCCAGAGTAACCGGGTATATACCGGGTATATAGCACCCTGTAGATCACCCCTTTACCCAACTATTCCCAAAACACCACTGTATGAAGCCTTGATCGAGTACCTATAGGCTACAATGGACACTGAGCGGATTATATCCAAGCCCTCTGCTATGCCTGCACACTACACAACGCTGACAGAACATCAGGTGGTATATGCGAAGGATTTCTGAAATCCGTAATCCATAGACAGGTTTACGCTTTGATGGATGCACATTGCACAATGAGCGAATGTGGTTATCCGACCGGTATCGCCGAGTGTATGATATCCGCTGCAGCAACATAACAACATCCTTGCTATAAATTCAGCTTGCAAAGCATCGATCAGGCTCCAACTGCGGATGCGGTGGTGTGCTGTTTCAGCCTGAGCAGGTGGACTCGCCTCACGGCGGTACGGCGGCACCCATATCGTGCATTCTTCTGTGAAACCGGGGGACCCCCGCCTCGTTCATAATGCATGTACTTTTCACTCCTCTGGGTGTCGATGCGACTCATGGTCAGCACTGGTCAGCACAGCGACCGAGAAGGAAAACAGAACTTAGGACAAATAATGATGCATTTTCGCGTCTCGCTATAAGTTATGACGATCGTGCAGGCTCTGTACTACTGTAGTCACTCAGACCGTCGTCTTTGAGAGTCCGGGCCGGGTAGGGTGACCGCCGCCTGAGCCGCGGATGCTACCAGAACAGTGCTACCAGGACGCGAGCTCACGGTACGCTCACATTCACAGCAGGCTTGCGGCATAGACAGCGGGGTTTCACAGGCACTGGCTACTGCGGCATCTGGTCAAACAGCGTTCGACTGGGCGATTGCATAGAGTACGCTGCCCAGTGCCCAGCCAGGTCCGGTCGCCAGCCGCCGCCCTTACCGTGAGCTGAATGCGTCACACAACCTTGCTGCTTTTTACAAGCCGGAGCATATCACACTGTCTGCCCGGCGGGGGGGGGGGGGCTCGTTGTCGCGCGCAGCACCGATACACAGCAATACACTGTCAAACCCACCTAACCAGTGTCCAGCTATAGAATATGATAACATGCTTCTACCCATGGTCTAAATGAAAGGCGAAAAACGATATGTAAGAAAACAGAATGAGGCTAGATTAAAAAACGCTAGTCGCGAAGTCTTTGAAATAGTGGGTCAAGAGCCCGAGCAGAAGCATGATAAAGACAGCCCGATCTCCAGTGTAAAGGACAGAATATACAAGACCCACAGAGCACTCACAGTAGTCAAATACACCGCACAATAGTGCCAAATAGACCGTTGTCAGATATTGAACACAATCGATTATACTATATCACGCACGTCTGCTATAAGCACATAATATCTCGGCATCGCTGGATAGCGAAGATGGGAAATATCGGGTAAAGATGTGTCAGTTATAGAAACTGAATGCTTATACAGAGGACACTACGACCCTGGTCAATGCATCAGCCTCCTAAACCACAAGACAGAGCTTAAATAAGTCAATCACTGTCATTTCCGCAGTCAACTTAGGCCGCGTCCATCACATCCTCATAAACTGGCGCGATTGTCATGATAGTCCACTGGCCACTGGGACCCTGAACTCTGCCTTTTTACTGATACGTGGCTTCATTCTACTGGCACGGGTCGGCGCCACTGCGACCGACCCACACACAGCCACTGACCTCTTCATCCATCCCACAGCCCCTCACTGCCAACATAACGCACGACTGGCCCGCCTCGCAGTATCTGTGCCGACAAAGAGCAAACCCGAATCGGCCCTGTGCGCATCACACGTGCGGCAAGGCCGGCAAGTACCGTCCTGTGCGCTGTAAATACAGCAGTCCGCCGCCGACTGCCATACTCTATTCTTTGTTTTGTACCGGTCGACGAATAGTAGTCAGCCGAGGTCACAGCTGAGGTCATCAGAGCTCAACCGGGGTGACTGAGGTCATAGCTGAGGTCAGCCGAGCTCAACTGATGTCACTGAGGTCATCAAAAGAGTCGACTGAGGCCCCAGCTGAATTCAACAGTCACAGCTCAGGCCGACCGTCGTGGTGCGACGTTGCAGCAGGTCAGGGCGCCGTCCTGTTGAGCTGCATCAGGCACCGGCTGGCCCGCTCAGAAGTGGAAAGGCAGTGTCTCCATGGCATCCTCGTACGATCGGGACAGACTGACCACCTAGAACAAGACGAGATACCAGGGGTGACTGATCGGCGACGAACAGGCAACGCTGAGGCGGACGGGAGACGAGCAGCGCCACCTCGCGGCGACACGGGACAACGGGACGCTATACTGAACTCGTGAACAGACCAGACGAACGAACAGATAGACAGATAGACGGACGGACAGAAAAGCAAACAATATATTGATGGACAGACGAACGAGCTAAGAAACGGATAGAACGACAGACAGACGAGCGCCGGACAAACGGACAGACGGACGGAGATGGATAGACAAAATGACGACAGACGGACAGACGAACTAGTCGGCGGGATGGACGGAGACTAGCCTCATCTGAGGAGATGCCTCGAGGGCAGACCGGGGCCTTGTGACGGGTGAGGCAGCGTGAGATGGCGGCGGCATACGGAAGGGAACAGGCTTCCTAGCAGGTTATACATTTTGAAAGCAAGAGCCAACTGCAGAGGACCACTAGTCAAAGTCGCATCCAACCGGTTATCACGTCTCATTGCCCCTATCTTTCCATGAATTCTGGGCACCAGACTTTGAGACATGGAGCACATATCGGCGAGAAGCAAAGTTAACGGAACGTAACCGGATAAGATGATTCTGGCGGTGAAATACCGCCTACGGGGTAGAACGAGACAAACAGAATCGACAGCAGTCAACGCTAGCAAGATGACAACAAAACATAACGATTAACGACGGACAGCGGGACAACAGCGAAAAAAAACGAGCAACTGCGGAACACAAAATGCAAACTGGCTACAATGCGGGCTACTGGAAACGAGACGGTAATGCTACATGATAAAAGCAAAGCTAAGTACGGAAACATTTTGGCATGACCAATGCAAAGCTACGTACGAAGAAGCGTTTGGTAACACTACAATGCAGACTATTTTTTTATCAATTCGAGGCATGCGATATGTGACAGTAACTCTACACAAAAGACAGCACATACGACACACACTAATCTATCATAGATACCTTGTAGATTAAATATTGGATGAGCTGGAACCTGACGCGGAGACATCGGTAACGTTAAACGATCCATAACCACCTCTCAGCTCAGTCGGATAATCGAATAGGAATGGTTTATTGGCCAACGACCTCACGATTGGAAGATATGAGCACGATAAATAGGTCTAAGAAACTTAGCAGGGACGGCACAACTCTGTTGATTGCCGCATCTAAAACAAGACTCAGCGCGATGGCACGAGATACGATATCGATTGGGTTGTGATACAGATGAGCATGCGTATTGCGGCTGGCGGCAGCTGCTCGAAATATCCTGGCCCACCTCACAGTACCGTCCCGTGAACATGGGGGAGGGTGGTCGTGGCGGTGTCATCCCACCGCCTGGGGTACCTGTCAGGGCCAGGGCGGGCGAGGCCGCCCCGCATCATCACACCAAACCACTAGAGAAACAGCGACCCATGCCGACGATGCTGCCAAAAAAGTACGATAAAAGTACAATACCACAACCCGCCGCGCTCACCAGGCATTAAACATAACCGTCTGCGACCTACGGGATCAAAACAACCACCCTTTCAGCGGCAATTCAAGAAAGATCAGCTATAAAACATGGTTCTCAACCAACTCTTAACCGATACATCGGCCTACCCGGTCAGTTTGGAGACCGGACCGACCATACAAGGGTTACAATCGACCACCGGGAGATCCACAAGGGGTGGGGGCGACGCCGGACTCGCTGCCGGTACCAAGCGCCAGGCGAATAGCCTTCCGAGCACAGTTCCATCAGACATCGCATGAGGCGGTACCTCCGCATCAAGATGTCGACATGAGTGTCACAATCGCATCACAGGCATTCACAGAGAGCGGAGAATCGCGCGTCGCATTGAAGTCCTATCGGTGCCGGGCCGTCCGACCTCGAGCGCTACACCACCATATTTTCCTCGGACATGAGATCACAGGTGGCCTCTGCGCCGGCGCAGCTGCCACTGGTGCTGGTGCTGCCCTTGGTGGTGCCGTTGGTGAGGCCGTTGTGACAGCAGCTGGCTCCGTTGGCAGCGCCCTGGTGGTGCGCCGACAGGCTGCCCGGGACCTGGAACACACGCCACAGATCGGCACGGTTAGCGACAGCGGTCGGAGGTGCGGAGATGGGAAGGGGCTCGGATTGGCTCGGAGCAGAGGTGGCTCGGATCAGATGAGAGAACCAGGGTAGTTACAGGCAGTACCGTGCTCGGAGGGGCCGGGGGCATCCTTTCCTTACCAAACGGCTAGGAAATCGGGCCGCGGAATCATAATGCAGTTCCCACTCATGCTCAGCGAATCAAGTGTCATTTGAATCGTGCCCCTCTGCTCAATGAACAGACTCTTCCATCAGACTAGTTATTACACCCCACACAGTCATCTATCGCCCCGCGCGCGGCGGCTCGCACCCCGTTCGGCCCGCACGGCGCCGGCACGGGCGGCCCGTCTCGCGCTCGCCGGCCGGCCGGCGGGGCCACCTACCGTTTAGGGCTCGGCGCGCGCGTGCCGGCCGGTCGCCAGCCGCCGCCGCCGCCGCCCCGCTGCGCCGCCGCCGCCGCGCCGAGCCTGCTCACAGAGTCACACGCCGGTCACAGTGAGGGGCGCCGGGGCGCCGGCGGGACGCGCACAGCGGCCGTACCTTGGGGCGGCTCCGGTGCGTGTCCACGGCGTCGATCGGCACCTTGACGTAGTCCACCTCGCAGCCGTACGCCGTCGGCTTCAGCTTGATGATGGTGTGCAGCGGCACGTGCAGGTAGGGCAGCTCCTCTGTGGAACGAGTGGAGAGGAAGCGTCAGCGGATGGACGTAAACACCTCGGGTATACGACTGGCAGAAAAAACGTTTGTCAGCAGTAACACAGGCACACAGAAAAGAGAGCGCCGACCGACGGCTACACAAGTGAATCATTATCTCAAACAACGTAGAAGGTCAACGTCTCCTGAAACCCTAACCCTCACAACATGGCTCAGAGAGCACTGATTTCATTCCAGTCGCTAATCTGTCCTCACCGGCCGGTTTGTCGAGGAAGTAGGCGAGCAGACAGCGCAGCACGGCCTGGTGGCCGATCACCAGGACATTCTCCTGACGCTCCAGCTCCATGATGACGGGCTCCAGACGGGCCACCAGGTCCTCGTAACTCTCACCGCGCGGGTACCGGTACCTGGGATATAGGGGTAACACAGTTAGTACATCACCCGTAACTCTCACTGCGCGGGTACCGATACCTGGGATATAGGGGTACAGTCAGTACACCACCGGGACAGGGGTACAGTCAGTACAACACCAGGTCCTCGTAACTCTCACCGCGCGGGTACCGGTACCTGACAGTAGGTACACCACGTAACTTTCACCGCGCGGGTACGGGTACCTGGGATATAGGGGTACAGGCACTACACCTTATTACTCTCACCGCGCGGGTACCGGCACATGACTGACAGGGGTACAGGCACTGAGCAGTACACTCATGAGGGTAACAGTACCTGAGACAGGTGCACACAATGGCGACTGGCGAGTATATTGAGGCTATGATTGAGGGTACCGGCACATCCTGAGATGAGTAGAGATAATGCGCAAAGCAACAGGTACCGACACCTGAGTTGTTCAGACACAACTTACACAAACGACATTTTTATTGCGCAAAATCTATCACTAGCATCGTCCCTCGTGATAAGCAACCAACCAGCGACAACAGCTGTCCTGAGCGACTGCGCGGACTGCTGCGACGCGCAATCGGCTGAACCTGCTCCCTAGTCTCAGATTCCCTTTTCATCCCTCAGCTGTTCCGTCTCTCTATCTGTTCGCTCGTAAGACTCACCTCAGCTTGTCCTGGTCTCGGGCGGCGAAGTCTACGGGGAACTTGTGCTGGATCTCCTCGTAGGTCATCTCCTCGCAGGTGCCGGCGTTGATTTCGTCCAGCGTCTTCCAGCGCTCCTGGGGCGCGCAGATGTGCTGCGCTGTCTGAATGGTGCGCAGCATCCAGCTGGTCCACACGCGCAGGTCGTCGATCTTCTGCGGGCGCGCCGGACGGGGGGGGGGGGGGGTAGAAGTGCATACTCAGGATAGGACGGGGTTCAAAGACAGACACGCGTGGGTGGTTGGCCATGGTCATGAAAAAGGCACCGCCAGAGAAAAAAATTCGAAGGACTGTATGGCTGGTGGGTAGTAAGCGATAAATATTCTCATTAGGAAGGCCTCATACAAATGTAAGTATCGATTATCATTAGTGAGAGGGTCATCTAGACCCTTACATCACCCTGAATCCTCATCAGCCTCATCAAGAAACTCAAATCATTTCATTGAGAAAGAACATCTGAACTATGTGACAATAAACGAAACCACTGAGCGGCCAATGTTTACGCTGATTGAAGCGATAATTCTACACACACTGGCCAATCATATTAACTGGGTCACAGGACCGCTATCTAAACAGTCGTCAGGACCCCGCCCTTTGCGGATATAGCTGGGCGGGGGCACGGCGCAGGGCGTCTGGTCATCCGGCGACGCCCCCGGTAAAATAAGCTTAGCCGCGTGGTCTGTCATGTGCTGAACGGCTAGAACGCACTCTGCCGCCATCGGGGGTCAGAGGGCAACGTCCAGTCTAATGTCCAGCAGGCGGGGACGGAAGAACCATCGAAAGACGGGTCCAGCATGACCTAAATTACGATTGTGGGACAAACGCACTATCAGACGACAGGCTTTACTCCTCAAACGAATAAGAGTATGAGCTTGGCGGTCACATCTCCATATGAAAGACTCCCTTGTCCTTACCTGTTCATGGATGTAGTCGGCCAGGGCGCGCGAGTATCGCTCTCCGCGCTCCGAGAGGCGCGAGTTGCCGCCGATCTTCCCCACCTGGTTAAACTCGGACTCGCCGTGCTGCAGGACAGAGGTCAGGTTACTACAGGTCAGGTCAGGTCAGGTCAGGTCGGGTCAGGTTAGGTCAGGTCGGGTAACCTCGCTGGGGGTACCAAAGACCCCCGGGGTCAGACGTTACAAACACTGTGCCCTGACATCAGCAGTGGCCGGCTCGGTGGACCTCAGACGGGCTGACCGGGGTCCGATGGAGGTCGGGGGGCGGCGTCCGACACCAATACACCGACCGGCTCCGGTTACAGTCCACTCACGTGGCCGGCCACGGTCTACAGATACAAATAGTGCCGGAGGCGGGCCGAGCGAGGTAGCGTCTACGCTCGCGTCCCACAGATAGCGACAAAGTGGGGCATAATTTGCTTGTGACAAATTGCTCGATTCCGCAGCAAAATCGTTCGCCTCGGGTACTCCGAAATCATAGCCTAAACAGCACTATTTCAAGTTAAGTACAAAGTCGAGTTTAGAAAAAAGCACATCATTCTGCTGACTAACAAGGGGATTACGACACGATGACACTGTTGGAGTTTGTTTGTGCGCCGAATATGTCTCAGGAGCGCCGAAGTTGTATTTATTTATTACTCTGTTTAGTGCCGGATTTCTGTGACTGTATTACGTATATTTAGTTTCTTGTTGAAGAAGCGATCCTATATCTGTAATGTCGGATCGAGTTCTTTGGGTCTCCGTAGATTTAACGTCGAGCCCTGATAAGAGACTAGGGTGTAGTAGTTGTAGTTTACGCGGTCAGTGATGGCGAGTGAGGAGGACCCCCATCACTACAGTTTCATTCTCTTCCGGAAACGTGGGATTTGGAAAATGTAAACAATCGGTTCTGTTGTGCTCTCTTGGCTTTTCCGCAATAAACCCGCACTCTGGGGTCTCCCGGGCGTGTGACGAGGTGGACAGAAGCGGGGGACACAACAGACACCAAGTCAAAGATTAAAAATAGCACAGCGCCCTGAGTGGCGGGAGTTAAGAGCAGCGAGCACGAAGCATTCGCGGGCGATTTACCCGATTATCTACTGACCCGTGTGAGGTAGATGGTCCTCGGTGTGATGTGGATGTTCATCAGGTAGTAGACGATGCGGGCCTGCAGGTGGCCCTCGTGTTTGTGCACCATCACCTTCTCGCCTGGGGGACAGACATGTCAAGTCAGGCCGGGGCCAGTGTATCACTCAATGCTGAGGCAGCGATTGACACCGTCACACTCAGCAGAAAACAAGGCGAATGGACACAGGGATTTACAAAGGCGACACATGGATGAACGCAAGTCAACATGGATCTTACGAGCAACGTTACCAACATGCAAAGCCTTCATTCGAGTCACACGCAAAGTCTTGTCGCAGCCCGCACCCGAGGGGCAGCACCTACCGGCGTTGAAGATCTTGATGAAGCTGAGCATGGCCTCCTCGACCTCGTCGATGGTCTGGTAGCAGGCCTTGTAGTGGTTGATGCGCTGCAGGAAATCCTGCAGGGCCGTCTCCTTGTCACAGTCAGTGTAGTCGGGACTGGTCAGCTTCACCTCCTGGAGAGGGAGAACGAATCAATATCCACAGACGAGAAAAATGACCGGCAAGTACGATAAACAATGGTGTAGCAAATCAACTGTCCATCACATAGGATACACAGCTAACACGTGTTGTGCTGACTATGGGAACAAGTCGATTTCGCTCGAAACTAGGCTTTCGTCGACACAATCTTCTTTTACAAACAAGTTCGTGGTTCGCCTCGGCTTCTCACTTGGTAACCAAACAATCCACACATTCCACAGCTCAATGTAGGCTGGTAACAAATTAAAATGAAATTAAAACCCATCCACATTATGACAAACACGGTAATATTTCATCAGGCTGACACGTCCGGCGATGGACCCAGTAACCTAACGACACTGGCCCCCGGGAGACAGCCGTGCTCACCAGAATGTTCGACTCGACGATGTTGGGTTTATCACAGATAGACTCGACGAAGAAGCACTTGTATCCGAGCTTCTGGGTGCAGATGTCGAAGATCATGCGCCGACGCTCTTTGGTCGTGTTGGTGGCGTCAAACACCTGGAGAAGGACGAGAAGAAGAGTCAGGCATAAGTGAGTATGGCTGACAAATCACCGCGTAAAACCCAGATGGCACACTGACAGACAGTGGGAATAGCTGATCCACTACTCAGCCACTTCAAATGCTAGACCCGGGACGAACTCGAATTAACTACTCAGTATCCACCAAACCAAGGCCCACTCAGTTCTCGTTAGCACAGTTTCTAGACTATGTCAGGAAGGTTCCACGCCTCCTAGTTCCATCCGTGCTTTATCCACCGTCCCCGCCGTCTCCACGGTCCGCCGTCTCCGCCGCTATCGACCGGCGGCGGTTCGCCCACGGCTGAAAGGGCGAGCTCCCCGCCGCCATCACCACCATCCACCAGACATGGTACCAGGAACGGAACAATCATTGATGGCAAACATAGACCGCATTGAGGGCGCATACCGCACGCCAACAACATGGGCAGCATTCCAGAGTGAAACAAAAACAAAGGGCGCCATTCCGGGCCAATGGCGAGCGCCGGGCACTGACAGCATTCCGTGGTGACAAACCTCCATCGACATTCCAGAAACATTCCCACCGGCAAATACTCTACATTATGCAGTGTTCCGTCAACACAGACTCGGATGGAGTCTATAGACTAGACCACTAGAAACAGCCAATAGCCAAATACACGTAACACCTGGCGGCCAGCCTATTCACCTATCAGCACGGCCCAGAAACACAAATAGCGAGTTTCCAGAAGGGAGAAACCGGTGCCAGGCCCATGGATCTCTGGCCCCTACAGGTGCACCGTAGCTCCCGAAACAGACTTGTTCGATCCGCGGTTATCAGACCCGGTAATAAGTTCTGGCACCGTGAAAGCCTCATTTCACTCCGTTGCCCAGCCAACCGGGGGAGTTACGACGCCATCTATCCTTATCTAATCCTATGGATCAGCTAGGACCAGCTGGGTTCAGCCCACCGTAAGAGGCCCCGCACCCAAATCTGTCACAGATGAAATATCAGCCGTTACCAGCACGCCCATGAAATAGAAACACTGGCAACACCACTGGACGAAAGGGACAGGTAAAATATTATTCATAGAATTTGGGATTCCTAATATTATATAATGGGAGCATGAATAATCTCAGTTGGCTTAATATCATACCCACCGTGAATGCCCTTGAGATAATCAAGAAGAAAAACAAAGTAAAAACATTACAAAGAGAACTTTTCAAACCAAAACCAATATCCCACCCTTAAGGACCACGATTTGCCGCGACTCACCGCAACCATGCCGCCGTCATCGAGCCAGTGTCGGACGTCCTCCAGGGCGTCCAGCGCGCACTTGATGCGGATCGCCATCGCCTCCTCATTGTCTGGACGGAAAAAGTCGTGGTTCTTGTAGCGCGTGGTCGCCTGACGACGGTACTCGCCCACGTTGAACACTGCAGGGTGAGACAGGGTCGGGTCAGATCGGGTCAGATAAGATCACGTGAACTCAAGATAGGGTAGTGTAGTCGATCAGGTTAGGCCAGACATGATATATAGGATCAAGTTGAGAGTAGATAGGGCCGGATAAAAAAGTCAGGTCATTTGAGATTACGCGTGAAAAATAAGTATTGACAAAACCAAACAGGGAAGGTCAAACCACGGTGGGTCACACCAAGCCGCGTCAGGTCAGATCAGTATGAGGTGGAGTACGCAGTGTATAAGATCAGATCAGGTCAGACACAGCGGACACACGTTTCGCCATTGATGAGCGCCACGGCGCCGCCCGGGCTGTGACGCCAGCGATCAATACGTCAGACGGTTCGACGAGACGTGACCAGTGCCAGAGAGGTGGTCAATGCACGCTGCAAATCCCATTGTTCGTGGAGTGAACGGCCTCATCAGAACATGCAGACGTGACACGACGCATGTGACAAGCAAAATTAGCATTGCATGCATAAGTACCAAAAGCCCTAAAGGAAGACAACACATTTAGATTCCCAAACGCCAATGTATTTGTAGCAGTTCCGGAGAACAATGTTTACAAATAGGGTTTGTTTTCCGTTGAGTACGGCATACAATATATAATTACATACTATATTACCTACCTATGACGCCACAATACTGGTTCGCAAAAACATATCCTGCCAAGTTTTCAGAGGCTTTAACCGGGGAGGGGAGGCTGCTAGCCGAGGACGGGCTTTCCAGTCCGCTCCCGTGCTTCCAAGACCTCCGGCACCGCAGCCGCTTCTCATAACAAGCACTGACGTCATGACGCGCACTGGGTGATTATTACGTCATTGGTTCCGAAGAGATGATGGCCATCGTAGGGCAGTGTACAGCCAAACCGGAAAGTTCGATTGCTCCTAGGTCCATACAGCTCCGCTTTACGGTTCAGTAAAATCTGGTGAGATCCCTATCTTCCAACGCAGTGAGACTCCACTGGGAACAAAATCAAAACTCCCTGGCATAGGTGAGCCCCGGGCCTTTATGCCCGGCACTCACAACAGAAACACCCTAGCCCAAAGCACAGTTAAACTTTGGCTGATTTTACTGAAAAGTCCTGTCTCCGGGGCACTGAATTCTAGGCCTCATCGGACCCAACCTACAGTGAAAAACCGGCCTGATCATTGATCAAACATCGCTCCCTGGCGCAGAAAAATCAAAAGTAAAACTCTAGTCCCTGGGGCACTGAAGCAGACACTGTTAGCATGGACCTTACCCCGAAATCGGTGCCTATCCGGTTAGTTCCTGTTTGAACCGGCTCGGTGGCAGGCGCGGAGCCAGCTTACCTACCGTTGACGGACTTGGCCCTGTGACCCAGCCAGTTTTTGTCAGCCAACCGACGACGCTCGCCCACAGCTGCTCGATGCATGCGTTCTCCTTACGTAACTCCATACATTCGCCATTTCCCAACGATTGCAAGCCGACTAACGCGACAAAATCCGTGAATACTGCCAAAAGTCGACGAGATTATGTCAGGAACCGCTCATATTGGGTAGGTTAGCAGTTCGGCTGACTTTGAAATGGCGACCCTCCCCGCCCCCTGCGGACTGGTCGCACGTACCGCACTCCCGAGATAGAAGCCCAGCACGAAGCCGCGCCGATTCGGAGGGTATGGAGGACATGGAGCGGTCAGTCGGACCGTCTGCCCCACAGGGGCAAACCGAACTGTCTCGAGAGCTCCAGCATTCCAGCAGGCAGCGGCAACCGATACACAAGTTGGAGAGGCTTCGGTTACCGCGTGGTAACTAGACCGATAACTGGGAACCCGCACCAAACAACCAACGGCCAGAGGTTCACTGAGTGCACAACTTGTTCACTCTAAATACACAGAACCCGCAAGTGGTCGAAAAGTTACGACTTGGCTCGTCTTGGCGGAGTGGATTTCTACTGTGAACGCATCAGTGTTGGAAGTTCCATTTAAGCGCCGGAAATTAGCGATTTCACAACATGAATACGCCTCCTAACTAGCACAAACCGAGCCGCCTTCGCCAAACCCACACGGAATTCCCCTGGCCTTTCTCCGAGCATATCCACTCTACGTCACAACATTATCCGTCTGAGTTCATCGAGACAAGCTATACGCGGAGTGCCGGGACTCCCCGGTTTGTTTGAATGTCTTACATCGCATCCAGGCGGCCCGAGCCGAGGCATTGAGCAACCCTCTACCACAGACCTCTGGGGCTACGGCAGGAGTCACTCCGTCCACCTACCTTTGGTCTTGATGCCGGTCCAGTTGAGATAGCGGGCCAGCTTGCGCGCCATGTACGTTTTGCCACGTGCCGGCAGACCCACCGTCACTACCACGTGCGGCACGTGGATGCTCTTAGTCCGCTCGCCTGGGGACAGAAAAGAGAAATATGTGTTACCATCCTTCGTTGACAAGACATATCGTCTTTCATACAATGCCAGTGGCTGCACAATGCCCGCACATGATAGTTACACAGATCGATAAAAAACACGACAAACAGTCCACGAATCACCAGTCCTAGAATGACAGGTCAGGAGTACAACATGAAGCCAGGCAACAACACTGCGAACCGGGTGTCAATCCATTCCATCAATTTCCAATGGAATCCGTGAAGTCAGAACAAAATAACGTCATACAACGACACCAAGAAAGCAGACAGTCAACCGACCAGCTCTACACAAACGAGCGCTCCACACAGCTCGGGAGCTCTAAAAACGCTCGTTCCAGACAAGTGTTCACAATCTGCCTCACGTGCAGCCTACATGAGCATCAGACGGGTTTACATCTGGGTCACAGACTGCGCAGTTGTCTTATCAGCAACACATGAATGTGTAGGGACACGAGACACGACACTCAACCATATACAGTGCACGCTCAGCAGATAAAACGGTATGCTATGAATATAACTGCCCATACGACGAGATAATGACAAGGATAAGATTCACTGTTGGTCACGATTTTTCATCACATCAGTTACACAATAAGGAAATCTTCGACTCTATCACGCCACTGTGTGTAATGAGTGAATGAAATGAACAGTCAGCGTCATGCTGACGCTGGCCATATTCTGCTGAGCATTAGGTGCAAGACACTGACATCAATGCCAATGTGGAATCAACCACCACAATGCTGGCAAATTAGGGATTATATCCCATGGAAAGGAGATTATCATTTCAAACCACAATCAACATCTGATTTGAGAAGGACAAAGTTTAGCAGCATGAGCAAAGCCCGGCTTATGGGGTTACGATGCACAGGTAACCCCGCACTTCATCACCAATCTGAGCGTCGCCCACGCTGCTAGCAAATATCTTTATGGCTTCAGTAAGCCGTTAGCGTACCCGCTGCCACCGCTCGTAGCCGGTTCGGCTGCAAGTTATCACAGTCCGTTCGGTGACCTCAGCCCGCAGGATGGGGGAGGGGTTCCGCACGGGCCTTCCGTTTCCGCGTGCCGGGAGGAAGTGTCTGCTCCTGGAGGCCGGACCGCCACGGGAGGAGGACGGCCTTCGGACCACAGTCACGGTCAGTGGGCGGACCGCAGCAGACACACCCCCGGCGAGCGGCCTTGGACGGACGGCCGCCTATCAGAGCCCGCCTACCGCCCCCAGATCACAACAGAGGACCCACGGCAGATCCTACCCCCAGATCACAACAGAGGACCCACGGCAGATCCTACCCCCAGATCACAACAGAGGACCCACGGCAGATCCTACCCCCAGATCACAACAGAGGACCCACGGCAGATCCTACCCCCAGATCACAACAGAGGACCCACGGCAGATCCTACCCCCAGATCACAACAGAGGACCCACGGCAGTCACACAGCCAACAACAGAAAACCCTCGACCACTGAACGACCATAAACAGACGACCCACGTATATTAGACGTATTCATAACACATGGAAAGAGCGAAAAGTTCATCTTAGCGTAAAAATATCAGCGAGAAAAAAGGCATTTACGCGCTTGCACAACACACAGTGGATGGTACACCACATGCATCTCACACAGAAACCTCCACATCTGACATAGGACGAATCAGAATCCCTCCGATTGCGGTGCCGAGGACAGTTTTTACGTTTTCCGTTCTAAGAGACAAAAGATAAACGCTCCCTAAAGACATCTGACCTACATGAACATTGAACACCGACCGTGAAGATGGAACAAAGCTTGGGTGGAACGACCGACAGCATCGACTATCGAGTATCGACCACTATTGAGGTACACATCGACTCAGTTCGTGGAACTGGGCTGGCCCATCATCATCCAGTAAACAGACAATACCATTGGCCAGTGACGGCGCCGTCCACAGCTGGAGCTGGGACCGACCCACCGAGGTCAGGGATTGAACGGGCAGTGTCTGCTGCTGCCTACCTCGCACCAAAAGCAATGCACGGAATGCCAAGGAATAAGGCACACCACGACAGCTCAATATCTGTCAATGCATCCCCCTTCTGACTCTGAATTATCACGACATCCATTGCCTGGACAAGACAAGAGTGCCAGTCGGTCAGTGAACCTCACCGAGCAATGGCCCTGCCATAAGCACACCGAGCGCACACTTGATTGTTTGGTGCTGCAGTTCCGAAAACTGCACCAGACAACGTATAGGTACTCAAGATGGAAAATGTCAGAATCAGAAGAGTCCTCGCCGTGCACGCAGGTGTACTGGGAGTGGGCGGGGTGCGTTTAAAACAGGGACAACACGCAGTTATTCTCAGAGCGACTAGGACACAGACATGGTAGGACGAGCGTTGCCCTCAGACTCAAACAGAACACAGAAGGTCGTAGCCTAGCATCACACCAGAGCACACATCCAAGCAGGCATAAATGCAGCTCAGTACAGCACACTACTGAAGGCACTCTGGCAGATTCGGCCGACTGCCGAGAAGGTGCAGTCACACCAGTCAGTTCAAGGTGTCTCAGTGTGGCACTGTCACTGGTAAAGACCGTGGCCCGGCTGGCAGGCCGCCAGATCTGTCCTGACAGTAACGGAGACAGTCGAAGGGACAGGATGGGCGGCTCCACACATCACACGATCTCGTGACAAGTGCGGTGACGAATGGTGAGTCTGGTGTGGTGCTCCTGACTGACTGGCAGACTATGAAATGGAGGTTCAGGTGACTCAATAATCTTACGTGGAGGTTTGATGCGCATCTACTACAACAGTGCTCACTATTCATCGGTTGCATTTGAACGCGGCTCAATCCGTGCTCATGTATCACTTTTAAGTGACCGGAGATCAGCAAATCAGTTTCCATCATAAAATGCGGGCAAATCACGAGACCCCCTCCTCATATCAGTGCAAGTCACAAGCTAGGAAAGTCTCAGGATTGATGATACAGTACAGAACGGTGCACAGATGTGCCTTTCACCGATACCGTAACCGGCCAGCGGCACTGCGCACCGCTCCCCGCACCTGAGTACACAGTGCACCCTCCCCGCCAGCTGACTGCGCCGTGCACCCTCCCTCCGCCAACTCAGCGTGTTTACAGTCGGTAGGAGGGAGCCAGACAGACCTAGCCAGTCTCTCCACCCGTGGGGCACAGGAGGGCAGAGCACTGACCGGCCTTGGTTGGTCCGCGGCACCCACACAAACCACCCTCACACAGCCAGGTGCGAACCCTTGCCGGCCACTGATGTAAACAGGGCATCAAGACACAGCCCGTGTCCCGCCCCCACAAAACACCGCACACGACACACAACACAACAAAAGACACAGCGCACCGTCAGAGGGAAAGGGTTTTTCAGCGTGGCAGTAGCCTCTCTTACCAGGCAGGATGTCGGGCAGATTCATCAGCCGCAGGAACGGGTGGTTCTGCATCACCTGTTGCGGACTCCGACCGCAGGCCATCGCCGGCTTGCCCTCACTGATCACCGGCGGCATCGCTGACGGCAAGGTTCGCCCCCACCCAGACAGGGACCGCACCGCGTCCGCTCCAAGTCCGTCTCACTCGCAGCAGTCGGCCGGTCACGCGTGTGTCGGAGCGGGAACAGCGGCGTCTGACCTGGACCCTCCGCGCGCGCGACCGCCAGCCGACTGGCGGACCGCCGGCGCCGGCCGGCCGGCTCGCCGGAGCCGTGACGTCAGCGTCGGTACGGCGCCCGGCCACGACTCACGGCCTTCGGGGTGTCCTTCCCGACCCACTGCGGAGCGCTGCTCACTGCGACACCACTTCCGTCATATACACCACCGCGACCTCCTCTCCTCCTTCGAGCAGGCCCGTGCCTACGGCCCCGCCGGAGGGCTGCTTCTTGTCCAACAGACGGCCAGAGTTCAGCGCACACCGTTCTTCTGCCAACGAGCCGACGCGCCAGTAAAACGGCGCCCAGCCTGGCAGAGTGGAACAGTCGAGGGCCGTCTTTAGAGTGAGATCAATCGCTGAGGCTCGCTGAGCTCAGGCTGAACTCCGGTTACCATGGAAACCCGTTTCGACCGACCCGTCCGCCGCCAGCGTGAGCGAAAAGCTCAGTCCCAGACCCAGTGGTTGGTGCGCAGTCTTAGTGCTCACTGCTCAGTCATTGCAAGATGAAGAGCGCTGCAGCGCAGAGGGATATAACGACTGGATCGATTGGATGCTGCACTCCAGGCCAATACGAGCAGACGAGCGCCCGGAGAAAGTTACGTAACGTCCCGAAATTTAGAGCGTTATTAGGTACTGCAGCACTAAATTACTAAAGCATTCGCTAAAAATGAGAAATAATTCGAAACTTTTTGACAGCTACTTTAGAAATGGCGCCATACTAAGATAAGATTCACCCCTTTATCAATGTAATATCACCTAGGTAAACTTCCTTGTAACCAACACCTTGATTTATTGAATTTTGAGATTTGTATGCGTTTCGCAACATCCACGTTTTCGCCAGGTTTCCAGAAAAGCAGGTAAATCTCGCTGATTGCCAGAACGGCTCCTCCAAGCAAACAGCTCACCTTCAGCGCACCACCAAATTGAACTCGACCCTGATCGACTCACTGAAAAGCCTTGATTTGTGGTCTCAGCTCCGGCAATGCCATTTCCTGGTAAACACAGAAATTACCAGTCTCGCTATGTGGCGAGTTTACACCGCCAGTTCCCGACAGAACAAATTGCCCGCAACAAACAAGGTCGGCAATATCGACCGCACGGCCCTGAGGCGGTGTGGCGGCGCCGGTATTTACCACGCCGCCAGTTCCCAAGGGGTGCTGGATACACCGCCGCCCCATTTCAAGCATTGGTGGACTGCGACAATCAGGCGACAATTTCAGGCACAAAGCGGGTGCCGGACGACCGCTCGCGCTGGTCGGTAGCAGCTCGGCAAGGAAGAAAATTGGCAGCTTTGCCGGTGCGAGTTTAGCTTGTCACACGATGAGAACTTCTAGTCATGGAGTA